CTGGCACCATAGTTAGTTTTTTTCATACAATATAACACTTTAAATTGAGACACATTAATCAAACGTTGTATGAGCCTTTATAATAATTGAATTTAACTTAATCAAAACCATATTGTAAACTGCACAATATACAATAGTGTAAGTTTGGTTGTCTACCACCTAACCGCTGAAATTCAAATAAATTATTTAACTTTTAATGAATAGGGTTTAATTAGTTAAAATAATAATTAAAATGTAACTACTATTCATTAATTTATTAGGTTATGTTTGAATGCGGAAATGATAACATATCGTTAATTTTTAGAAAAAAAGATTGTGTTGGGACTTTTTGTAGCATTTTTTGATCTAAAAAAAATCTTTACAATAATTAAAATATCTTAACCTCAGCTTTATTTTTATATGTTTTAATGTTCAAAAAATATTATTTATTTCACTTCTAAGAAACTCATCTATCATCTAGAGGTTGAACTTTAACCGAATTTAACGTCCTAAAGAAAATCTTTGAAATCATTCTGAATAGTACAGCATCTTCTCAAAAGATGGCCAAAATTTTTTTAAAAAATTCAATTCAAAATAATAAAATTGTTTTTTTTGCAATTTTATTAAAAATTTATTAGAAGGAGCTGTAGAACAGAATTAATAAAAGAAAGTCTGAACGTTATAACAATTTCTTTTATTGAATTATCTCAAATAATTGAAGAGGTCGGGTGGAGGCACTTAAATTTTAATTTAACAGGAGGACGTTGAACGTACGTCACCATTCCAAAATTGATGTGCTTTATTAGAAAATAACTGGTAGTTTATTGGGCCCCTTTGGGTTTAATTCATGAATCGCGCCACCACAAAATTCCATGGCTATAGATAACGTCACAGCCTATCTTCCTTGTTATATTGATGGTCTTGATCTTGAACTCACAAGCAAAGACAAACAGATTAGCAATCTGAAAGATAATGGAAAATCGACCGAGGACGATTGTCGAAATTTTTTAACACAAAATAGAACATTTTTTAATTTATAATTCTTTTATTTGCTTTATGTAGTTATTTAGGTATTAAACAGTAACAGTGTTCTTTAAGTGAAGCTTTTCTAAAAATATTTTGTTTTGGAGGTGTGTTCTGACGTCATCTATCTCAACGTTGTCCAAGCCAAATATAGCTACCGGTACTATCGCGAGCAGAAAGTTATCGATTAAGATTTTTTAAAGTGTCTTAAACAATGTTTTCTGTCATAAGCACTTTAAAAAATTAAAAATTGTTGCTAACTGAAAGAGATAAATAAATCAATTTTTGATTAATTGCTTTCGTCAAATCGAAACTATTATTAGTCTAATCGAAAAACTTTTCAAATTACAAATAGTACGTACGTCAATCAAGTTAACAAACCAAACGATATAACACATTTATTGTTGATCAAAACCCTATGAAGTAATTTCTATTTAGAAATCGTAACAGAAAAAACAACAAACGCGTTTGTTATTGATATTAATTTTGGAAAACCGTCAGCAATCTTTGGTTGTTTTTGAGAAGCGCGTGATGATCAGTCATTTCTGATCATGAGTTGAAATTTTTTGTGTGATTTTTTTACGCAATTTACGTTTTTTACAGTTTGAAGTCCGTGGAAAAATACTGAAAACGCAAGTGACCTATTCTTAGTACAATTTGGGTCTAACTTTATTTCGCTACAAAAACAAGTCGTCTCGAGAAAAAAAAATTATAAATACACCATTCTTATTTGATATATATATAAAGATTTAAATTCAATGATCGTGGAGATAAAAAGCACATATCACTTGTTGCAATGCTGTGTATTAAAAGCAACATTAAACATTTTTCCTAATGTGCCCATAATTTGCAGGATAATCACATTATTTATATTTCGCCACTGATATTATTCGTAGATTTCACATCATAATATGAAATTTATTAAAATTACCAAAGAATTAGCTTGTAATATATAATTTATATTACAAGCTATTGATAAATTAATTATAAACCAAGCATTCTTATTTTAGATTGTTAACACATAGTGTTACAAAAATAAACGCACTCTTTCAATGTGCTAAAGGAGATTTGATGTAAAAAGAAAAAAATAATAAGTTGAACGAATTGCACACTATTTCAGTCCTGCGTAACATTATTGTATGTATCATCAATGAAAAATAATCAAAATAAACAAGAATATCAATAATGTGACAGTAATACACAAAATATTCAAGTGAATGACGCAGAACCGGGAATTTTGCTGATCTACGTAAAATAAGTTCGCTGACACGAAATATACATGTGCTTACCCGAGGTTTTTCTGGAACGGACTTTGTCCAGAGTGATTTTAAGCAAATTATAATAATTATTTATCTCGAAAACGAGATTAATTAGATCATGCGTTTATAAGCAAAAATTGTTTCTATTATTATACGCCCTTAAATTTAGTGAACTTACTTTTCTTGTGTACATTGTATAGTGTACATTGGAAACACGATTTATTGCAGATATTGAGAATCTGTTAATGGTGTTGTTATTTAATAATAAATTGGGTGTTCTGATGTCAGGAACTAATATCGACTGATATCATTGTATGGGTTAGGTTGGGTTGTATGGGATCACTCTCCAATAGATAATTATTGTCAAGTTCGTTACCTAACGAGTAAAAGCTCTTGTTGATTACCGACGAGGACCACTTAACACTTTGTGATGATAAGTGACATCTTGGAGACCGAGTTGAAAAATAAAAAACGCGATGTCTTGAGCCATATTTGAAATTTCTATGTCTTGTGGTTTCGTAAATACCGACATTGACCATGTGACACTTTGTGATAATAAGAGACATCTTGGAGACCGTTAGAGTTGAAAAATAAAAAATTTTCTATTGCAATCTGCTACTGATTGTTTTGCAATGTTTGAAACATGGTCTGCAACCTCATTAGAACTCAGGAATTATGTGATTGATGTGTAAAATGTGTCTGGAGTTGAGCAGTTATAACCTCATCAAGGCTATTGATGTATTAAATCGTTGAATCGTTGAAGATGCCATCTCGTCTTTTTCGGCAGATGCGTTTGGTGTACCACTAGAGTCCATTTTCAATCCGAATCTTTTTACAATATTCTGTCATAATTTGACTTAATCTGGTTTAAATACCCTATTCTATCATTTTTATAATACACAATATACTGCAGCTTTTTATCGCATGAGTTACTAGATGTGCGTAGTAAGCAACACTCTTTGCATTAAATCGCATGAGCAAACTACCTCTTTAATAGATCAAATGTTGGGCCAGCTGTGCGGCATGTGGCAGCATCTTGTACGAACCGCATATCAGTCATGTCCATCCAATTTTGCCCAAAAATAGTCTTCCAGCATGCTACGATGGCGAACTCTATCGATCATAACATGGCGATCATTTTTATCGATAAAAAATATGGTACAATCTGACATGAAATCCATCAACACAGTCATGTTTGTGGTTGTAATGGAGTCTTTTGAGGCATACATATGTGAGTTTGTTGCTATCTAATAACGCACATTTTTTGATGAAGTTCAAAATTTGTTTCAAACATTACCCAACCTGCGAAGTTTCGACACTTCAAATGATCAAGAGACTCCAATTCTTGAGTTAATTTAATCTTATAAGTAAAATAACCCAAGATCTTTACTCAAAATTCGCCAAACTGTGGTTTGAGAGATTATTCCTTTTATTATTATTTCTAATTCTTGTAAACGCCATGCCGCACTTCCTATTGAAAGCTCGTTTGTTGAAGAGGATGCACATCATCAGAAGTATTCTTTGTAAAACTTTATAAATCAAGAATTTATTAGCATTTTCATTATTACAGGGTTATGTTTGATCCATGTTTGTTGCAGAAAAGAGTTCGTATGGCGTAAGTTGCTCAAAACTGCAATATTATGGGTGGCTAAACATGCAACACAAAGTCTTTGTGCTACAATTAATAGGCACAAATCTTAAAAAATGTTAATAGGAAAATACCTCTATACTCTATCAAGTGGCTAATGTATGAAATTTGGTCTTGGATTATGCGAAGTGTGTTAACTCTATTGTGAAGTTTAAATCAGTACTTTTGCCAGGCAAAATGTATGGTCAAGTATCAGTTACCATATTTTATTGGTATCTTTAATGATTAGATGTATTCAAAGTCATCAGAACTGATGAATGAGCAGCATACTTAGAGTAAATGTATGCACAATATTATTCAATTATTCATCAACAGTTTCTCTATGGTTTGATGTGTAATAAAAGTAAAAACAGTTCTGGTGCAGAATCTATTAGATATTAATTAGATATTGGTAAAAATTTTATAAAAAATTTCTAAGAAGTCGATATTTTACACATCTTTAAGGATTGTTTTAATTACCAGATTGACTTCTATGACACTGTTTGTATAAAATAACATATTGGTGTAATTTAAATGATTCATTAAAAACATAACAATCGAAACTTAAGTAGGAATACTTGTTTTCAACATATTTTATACAAAGAAACAACATTTATATGTCAATGCAGAAAATAACATAATTGCATATATTTTTTAAAACTTAAAAAATCGCATGTTCAAACTTTATTACATATTACCTATTTCTTAAGTTACGATGAAATAAACGTTATAAACAAAATTGTAACCTCTTCAAATATTGCAATAGATCTAAATTTGTTTATCTCACGTAATTGAAGTACCAGCCAGAAATGATCGTAAGATGCCCAGTGTTTCGTCATCCCGAGTTTTATCAATGAACGACAAAAAGTATGTCAAAATGTTTTCATGGTCAAACATGCGCAAATCGAAATAACTTCTTTACCAATAAAAACCTACGTAATATAATTAATTGTAAACACATAAAATATTAGCTAAGTCGATAAAATTCATAATCTGTTAAAAAAAGCATGCAAGTTCACGTACAGAATTACATCATTCGCGCACGAAATAGTGAACGATAAAAGAATCAACGGTTCCTCCCTCCTTTGCTTTACAACAGTATATAAAAAGAAGCTTCGCCTCCATGAGAATGAAACGCGAATAGTAGCCTTGAGAAGTCGGTCGTCTGAACGAAAGCTGCCCCAGAACGATTCTTTAATCATTCAAGTTTGGATCGCTTCCAAAGTTATCGTGAAAGTTATTTCAAAAATTTCAATATCATGGATAACATCAATGATAAAATTGAAAACAACTTGGATTATAGTTATTTCATAAATCCTTTATCGTCAAGAAGAAGACCTGCCTTAACTAGAGAATTAAGTAAGTAATTAATTCTGTTTAAATCAATTTAGAAAATTTAAAAGAAGTCAATGTACTTTAATCTCTTTGTATACAAACTAATTAACGAAATCGTTAATCATCATCATAATTTGTTTCAATTCGTTAGTAATGTAGCTTAAAAAATTCTGGCCTACTTAATTTTCTTCCACAACAAAAAAAAAACTCCATCGTAAACTGGTTCTACAGCCTCTTTGACGAGGTATTGTAGAGCCCCGTTGTGTTTTAGAACCTGTTCTTGTAATTAATTCGGAGAACCCAGACCAAATTGATGAATCGACCTCTTTAGAAAGAACTTTTGTTTCTTCACAGCAAAATTGGCTTACTTAGCTCCAAAGGAAGCAATTTCGTTAGCCGAAGGAATGCCGAACGAGTCCACCTTTCCATTTGAACGTTTTGATATCACCATGAAAGATGGTTCGGTGATGTCGTTGAAGGGATCCACACTCGGCGCCGCTCTTCAATACATCCCAACCCAAGGATATCCACCTTTACTAAAAACTTTAAAAGATTTTACTCTTAAAGTTCACAATCCACCCAACTGGAATAGATCTGATGTTCTAATTACCAACGGTTCCCAAGATGGTCTCAGTAAAGCTTTGGAAATGTGTATTCAAGAAGGTGAACCACTCCTTGTTCAAAATCCTTTATATGCTGGAATTGAAATTATTGTAAGATTATCAAAAAAAATTGTAGTTGTTATTTTTTGTTAACTAGAAATATAATTTTAGATTTCCCCAGTTAAATCAAAACTTCTTCCTGTTGATCAAGACCAATATGGCCTTAATCCAGAAGAATTACGTTCAACCCTCGAAGATTGGAAAGAAAAATGTCTTCAAAACGAATCATACAAAATGCCCAAAATGATTTATATTAATCCAACAGGTTCAAACCCAACCGGAACGAGCATGACTTTAGAAAGAAAGCGACAAATTTACGAAATTTGTTGTGAATACAACATCATTATCCTAGAAGATGATGCTTATTATTTTCTACATTTCTTGGATGAATTAGTTCCATCGTTTCTCTCAATGGACGTCCAAGGAAGAGTGTTGAGATTTGATTCCTTTTCAAAAGTTTTAAGCTCAGGTCTGAGACTTGGCTGGGTAACAGGACCAAAACAATTAATTCAAGCTATTGAATTACATATTCAAAGTTCTACTTTACACTCAAGCACTTTATCCCAAGTAATCACGAATAATTTGCTTCAATCTTGGGGATTTGAAAAATTATTGGAACATTTCGATACGGTTTCAGCTTTTTACAGAGCCCGTCGAGATATAACTATTGAAGCTATGGAGAAACACTTGAAAGGACTCTGTGAATGGACTATTCCAGCTGGTGGAATGTTCGTTTGGATTAAAGTCCATGGCGTGACCGACGTTTACGACATGTTAATGAATCGTGGTTTGAAAAAGTTGATAACTTTTGTCCCAGGTCACGCTTTTATGGCAGATCCAACAAAAGCTTGCAATTACATAAGAGCATCGTACAGCAAATGCCCACCAAAACATATTGATAAAGCTATCAAGATTTTGGGGGAATTGATCAGAGAGGAAAGAGAACTTTTGAGAATAAAATTAGAAAACTGTACGTAATTTTTAAAGGTTCGCATCAAAATAAAGATGCGCTCAATGAAAATTATGAAAATTCCATCATCTCGGGGTGTCTTTTACGACACCCCTTATCGTACAAAAAAAAATACTAAAGTATTAGAATCCTTTCTAGGGGTTATCACCACTTTGATATGTATTAATGCGCGTCTTTGACGCAAAACGATATAGATATAATTTAAATAATAACATTATGCATTCATATTTATATTTTTAGGAGAAAATTTCATCATAAAATTTATGTGAATCTCTGTATTAGATGATAAATAAACGCATAGCAACACTAAATAGTTTATGTGTAAACTTATTTTCTTATCATTATAACGAAACATATTCGTTTTTTTTAACGGGATAATATGATTTATTAACATCTTTTATGACATCTTTTAACGCAATCAAGAGTTGATAAGATAAGATTGCTGTAACATTGTATTAGTGTTCTATACGCAGATAAAAAAGGATATATTAGATGTACGATATAAAGATTCATCTGCTGGTTCATAGGTGACGCTTGATATATAGATGAAAATTTTATGCTTTGTATATAAAATATAACTAGTATTTGGTATATTTTAATGTATAATTGTTTCAAAATATAATAATTATTATTAATTTTAAGTTTATATTTAAAAGAACGAAATAAAATTCCACCTTTGTAAAATGAGATATATTGTGCTTATTTAGGAAAAATTCTGTAATACAATATAAAGGTTTACTTACTCGCAATCAGAAATAAATATTAACCGAGCTAACAATAGCTTATGACATTAAACAATTTAGATCCTATGTTTATGGCAAAAAAACTATCTTCACATATCACCTTTAATCTGACATTGGTGGCTAAAAAAACCTAATCCAAAACTGATACAATAGAGAATAAAACAAGAAGAACACGACTTTGACTTTTCATGTCAAAGTAAATACAAATTCGGATGCATTATCAAAGATTATTTAAATGATCTAAACCTCAAAATTCAAATCTACTTAGTTGACTTACTTAGGATGATTCAGAATTGTTAGAAATTGTCAAAGAAATGTCGAACTCTTTGATCAAATCAGAACAGCAAACGGTTCCGTAAAAAACCACATTTATATCTAACCAGGTATATATAATGCTTATATTAAAGAATTTTCAAATACTGGACCTCGTATAATTAGATGTCCACGAAGGACAGAAGTTGTCACAGATGACAGTTATACAAATTGAATATCTTGTAGGCATAACTAACCATCATCACATACAAAAGATACTCGAACAACTAAAAACAATGTATTACTGACCAAAAATGGAAAAACCATTAGTTTTCTTCTGGGCATGGATGCGTTCATAAACGCGAACTCAATATATACAATTGATAATGTCAATTGTGTTGGAACGGATTGTGTGTTTGAAGAATTATTGTATGATAACACTTGAAATTACTTGCAACATTGTTTTAATCAACGAAATCGGACATGATGCCCAATAACAAAATTGTGAATGGAATGAAAAATCTCAAAGAAAAAACTGCGCTAGGTAGCAAAAATAATTTGGTGTTCACTGCAACCAAGCAATACAAAACTATTATGACCTAGTAATTAGGTGAATTTCATATTTCGTAGAATAAATGAAAAATGGAATTGTTCATAAACTTTCAACTGAAGCAATCTAACCAGAATTGGTGAATAAATAATTGAAAGGTAGAACCCAGAATGGTAATGAGTTCTTCAATAATGTAGTTTAGACATATTTTCCAAAAAAGAGGCTTCTGACCGTAACGCTTAGTGTTTATGAAGTTGTAAAAAGATTCTATGATGGATCTTATAGTATTCGCAAAAATTGGATTGAAGGCAAAAACTTGTGTAAAACTATGAAGATGTTAGAAGCGTGCATGAAGTCAACATAAAACCGAATGCAGAACTGGAAAAAAAATCAAATAGTATTCAGGGCAAAGATTCAATCCATCTCGCAATTGCAGAGTGAGTTCTTTTATGTTACAAGACCCACACTTTATATCATATGTCGGTGGAATACAAAAATCTATTGAATTTCTTCAAATTCCTATCGATTTTAGTTGACAGAAAATATCTTATCAGAAAAATATACTTCAAAAATTAATCTGATGATTCCCATGGAGTTTCTTGAAGGGAGTAATAGATTAAAAAGAACAAATTAATGTTGATCTATAAGCTGAGATCTTTGCTATAAGCGCAGACACTCAATACTACAAATTTCATCCTATGTGTGGTATTACGCTACTTTAAAAAACATCAAGAAGTTGGTGTTAGGTTCTTCGTCTTCGGCCTGTTTAAAACATATACTATGTAGAAAAATATATGAAATGGTGTTATGATTAAGACGGAATAATATATATGTTAGCTATGATGATGATAAAAAATAACTAAGAAATTATTTGAAAAAGATATTGAAAAAATGGTACAACCCGATACGAGATTTTAGTAAACAACTCAACAAAAAAAATATTCGATTATTTCCACTTTCACGATTTATATTAGGACCAATAAAGGCAATATTATTTACATATAAAATCCATATGCGTGATTCTAAGAACGTCTTCTTTCGTCACGTGTAAGAGACAACTCACGCTACATATTTCGTTTTTATATTCATGTTTTTAGAAAGAAAGGTTATTTTTTCCGTCTACTGCTTATACGATAAAATATGAAGCCGTCATGTATTGGACTGATGTTTTTATGGGAATAATAAATATAAACAAACGCGAGAAAGTTATTTTTGTAGCATTTATAAAAGCTGTTAATTTCGGCAAGTCGATTAACTGGCTGAAATTGTTCGTAGATGAAGAGAAAATTAAACGAATTAGTGAATTGCAACGAGTTCATTCTCGCTGTAGCTCTTTTCCTCTCTTTAAACTTTGCCCTTTTCCTCATTCTGTCTCTTTCCCCATTTCTTAATGAGGATATTGTTTTTACGCGATTACTGGCGCTACGAGATGGCGCTCGCGTCGTTTCTGTAAAAACTCTTCATTAAGCGCTTAATTGCACTCGGGAGTGTTAATTGACTTTTGCGTTTGTGAGATTACCATTAGCGGGGGAAGAAGAATACCCGGGGTAGTTTGTTCTTTTAAAAGCTAGCGTTTTAAAAAAGAAAACTTTCCTTACTTTTTATAAATCGAGGGGAGTAGAAACAACTCATCATTTTCTAATTACGCGAGATTTCCCGGCGAACGGGAAACTCATAAAAGGCTGTTTGTGGATGGACTAATGTCAACGTGACCCCAAGGCTGGTTTATAGATGTATCGAACGGTTAATCCACACTCCCCACTGTTAATTTTGGACGTACGTTGACGTCCTTTGTTTGCACTTAATTCGATAAAACAGTCGTGCACGAAATTACTTTTTTTGTTAACGATGATTTTTTTAAATTTAATATTTAGAACAGTTGGTTAAAAATCTTAAATGAATTCTAATTACAATTTGATATTAATTTAATATCAAAAGCATTCACGATGAAGGGAGCTAAAAAAGAAATCAATGGTTTATAGAATAGACAGTAACAAAGTAAAATAAAATCGGGGAACGTCAAAAACGCCCCCGCCAAATGTCGCAACCGCCCGATACAGTTTTATTAAATGAGGCAACGTCCCAACAAACCCAATTGCGCCCCCAAAAATCATTATGTGTCCGCCCGGGGTGGTAATGTTCTCGTAATGTGGCGGTCTCTTTTATGCCCCCTTTTTCATCCGCAGCGTGAGGGTCTCGTGCCCTCTTGCCCGGTGTTTGACAAACTCGAATCATTTGTGTACATGGGGGCACATGTTTAATTGACTCGACAGTCGGCGGCGGTGGCGACGTCGACAAGGAACGAACAGCAATTTTTACCCTCACGGACCGTTTAATTTCCTTTTCACAGTGTACTAAAACAACCATTAGCGAAGCTATTTAGGAAGGGCGACGCTCCAGTGGTACTTTTGTCGTATGAAGAACTCTTTCGCATTTAAGCTCCTATTAATCCTTTTTCTTTGCTTAAGTACACTAAAAAATCCACGTTAAATCTGCACACGTTGGGGTAATTTAATGAATCCGTGAACAGATTTCCAACACTTAACGTGTAGTACTTATTGTTCGAATACTACTTTAAACTGTAATTTTAGTATTACAGCCGCAACCCTTTATGTAACGAAATGCTCCCCGCGGTGAGGTTCATAACGACATCTGTCGACAAGGTTTAGTAATTGAATAGAGACTTGAAGATACAAAGTATCGTTGGGAACTTATTCATTTGAAACCGGCCGCACACTGTTTGCTACATTGAACGTAATTATAGGTTTGGAGGCTGATTTCATCTCAATTTATATTTTAAGGATCCCCTAAACCGAAAGGTTCGATTTGCAAAGATTAAATTACCATCTGGTACTATATATAGTAAATACTAACTATATAATTACGCAACGATCAAAAGAAGTTATTTCAAAATCAAAAATTACGAGATATAACATATTACAGTAAAAGCTCGATATATAGGATTTCGTTAGAATGGATATTAGGGACAAAATATTTTTATGTCTGAAGATGTACGACTAAACCCGAAACTTTCTCGTTCTAGGTGTAGTGTTAGTTCTAGTTTTAGTTGTTACAGTGCTAAATTGTTGCATATTTTTATTACCGCCTCTTCAGACGGCTAAACCCGATTGTTTCTAGTTCGAGGTCTAGTATTAGTTCTAATACTAGTGTTAGTTCTAGTTTTAGTTGTTATTCAACGTTAGATTGTTGTATATTTTCCATTGAACTAAAACTAGAGCTAACACTAGACCTAGAACTAAAATCATTCCAGTTTAGCCGTGCGTCTGAAAGCACCTTTTCTTTGGTAACAAATCATAGAGTATGCAGATGACATCAGCATATTAACAAAAAGAGTGAATAAAAATATAGACGAGTGCTTTGCGGAACTTAAAAGTATAGTAAAGGGAATATGAATGAGAAAGAAACCAAACTCCTAGTGCAGAGCAGCAACCACGAAATCGATAGAGTAAATCATCACAATATACGAATACAACTTTAAAGTTGTACAGGACCTAACAAATCAAAGGAGGTAATTAAGAGAATAAATGCAGCAAATAAGACATATTATGCCACACTACCCAGAAAAACCAAAATTAGAGTCTATAAAACCATGATACGGACAGTACATATGAAAGAGAAACGTGGACACTTACATAAAAAACACAGAGAGACAGAGGACCACTTTAAGAAAAGTAATGGCACAAACTAGGTATGGGAACATATGAAGAACGGACACGAACCACGAATTGTACCAGTACATGAGGAA